ATGGCGAGATGGTGTGTCAAGGACTTGTTCGCACAAATCTAGAGTTACTCCTCCTTCGGATTCAGGCTAGGCCAATTAACGAATCCCTTCCATACGCCTATCCAAGCTCTAAGAAAATTAAACCAACGTTAATCTGCTGAAGAATTCCTCGAAAGCCGGTTTTTTTCATATATTTGTAAAAAATATACCGATTTTTATTTGCTTTTTTCTGCATGCCTGCTTGTGGATGAAGCATCAGGTTTGCTGGACGAAATAGCAAATGGTACCTCTCCTCCATGACTAGGGACTCGGTTATTTTGTGATTGCCAGTGGTGAGGCTATTCTCGGGGCTCCAGTATCGCATTCGTGGAAGTTGCCTCCTTCCCAGAAGTCATGCAGTGGTGACTAATACGTGACGAATTTGCGTGTAAACAGACTAGGCCAAATCTCAACTACGTGGTTGGGTGAATAAAGTAAATAATCCCAGTTGCCATAGTGGTCTGAGGTTCTGGACCTTGTGTGTAGTCTTGTAAATCACACTGTTTACTGCTCGGTCCCACGAATCATAAAAACCTCTTTTTTCAAAACCACCACTTTTGAACAAGCTGAAAATGTAGACTGTGGATATAGTGATCATAAAAGGTGGCTCAAGTGGTATGCTGTAGAAGGATAAATAAGGGGCTTCCGATTGACAGGTGTTTGGCCGAATAACATTGAAGTTCGCGCCCAACTCGACCTTTAAACTTGTCGACAATCTAGAAATTCACTCACTGAGCAAATGGAATATTCTACAGAACATTTTATGACGAATCTAATCAATTTCCAATGGCTAAAAACTTCCTTAATCTGCTTATGGTTTTTAGGTAGACATTCGAGACTACCAGTACATCATTTTTCGTATTTAAGTAGAGTTTCGAGACTACCAGTAAATCAGTAATATGAGATGTAATCACCCAATTTCGTTTAAGCTGATCAAGAACTGGTAGAAGAATTTTCCCACAATGTTATGAGTAGAGCTGACGTTTCCATTCAATTTCACATTGCCTTGCTTTCCCAAAAGTTGTTCTCACCCCGGTTGGAGTGGACTGCAGTTTCGACCTCACATCGGTCTTATCAACACCCCCAGCGGGAGTCGAACTGTAACAGTGTAGAATGAGAGCTTGATACGTTAACCACTCGACCACATTGCTACGAGAGCCCTTGGGAATTTCAAGGAAGGCCAGGCCTTTTTGTCATATCACATTCTTTGGTGGGATTGTCGATGAAGTAAACGTATATTTGCTATTACAACCGACTGCGTCACTTATTTTTCGTATTTAAGTCCTTTATCACCTTAAACGAAATAGAGTGAATACATCTCATATTGCCAGTACATCATTTATGTGAGATGTTTTAATACCATTTTGTCTAGGGTTCGAGTCCCGCTGGGGGTGTTGGTTGAAACTGCAGTCCACGCAGGATTAGAGTGCCTTTTGTGAAAGCAAGACGCTGTGAAATTCAATGAAAGCTTCAGATCTGCACATATGATTGTGGGAAAATTAAACTACCTTTCGCGTAATAAACGAAATTGGATGAATACATTTCATATATCCTTAACCTGAACCAGCGCAGCCTTAAGAAGTTAGGGCTCGCATTTGGGACTGTTGATTTGTGTAAAACTGTAACTTTAATAATTCCAGAATTTTTATTTCGAAGGATAAGATGGTGATAGGATTCTTAAAAAGCCTCGACATGTATCTGGATCCGTTAAATTGGGCTACAAATATTTAATGTTTCTATATTCGGCAAATCAGTTTGACTGGTGATATGTAGAAAAAATGACTTTATAAGATTCCTTGAATAGATTGATGTTGGAATACTTTTGAGTTCGTTTGAAGTAGTGAGTGGAAGGAGTTGCAGTCGGCCTTTTATTTGTCTTCGTGTTTTGGTTGTAATACTTATTATTCTCCTTTGACGATATTTGTCACATGACTGACAAAATATCAGCAACGATTCATCGGGGTCGCGGGACAATAAGCCGAACATTTATTAGCCCAACTCTAGTCACAGTGTCGAGGCTACCAACCCTATTTTGACTTCCGGTGAGATCAACTTATAAATCCCTTTCAATTGCCTCTTAAAACGAAATGAAATATACTCCAACATTTTAATTCTTGATTTGAGGGAATGTGTTATTGCGCAACAGCTGATCTTTCTTTGGTCAGTTCGAGATAAAATCCTCTTTAAATGCTTCTACCATATTTTCAGCTATTTATGCAACTTCCATTGATATGCAAATTCCTACAACAGGATGTTATTGCTGGCCAAAAACGGACGTTACTTTTAGCTGTCCTACTTTGAGCCATCACTGAAGGCTTCGTGCATAAGCGAACACAAGCTGGCACATACGCATACAGAGATAGACACACTCACAAGCTTCGAAGTTCACATATTACCGTAACTAACCAAATCACTTTATACCTGAGTAGAGTATGTATACCTCATTTTATGGATTTGCCGGTGAGCTTTCTTGACTCGTTAGCTTGAAATTGGTTGTGACGATGATACATTGCTCTGATGATGTCCGTCAAATGACGGACGAAGGCTTAGCACCTTTTCACCGGAATCGAAGGAGATTGCCTCAGAAACAGCTTGCGCATGAATCTTCCAGTAAAGCCAATCGACAACTGGTCAAGAGGAATCCACCTTCGAATCTCTTCACCAAACACTTTCGCTTAAATTGGTGTAAATTCCAGATCCACATCAACTTAAAAAGAAATAGAGTGAATACAACTCATAAATCTGATTTAATGATAGTCTCGAGAACCTACTCACTTACGAAACAAGTAATATCGTCGATGTCTATGGGAAATATAAATGTGCTTCATCGACAATCACAGCACAGAATGTGATGTGAAAGATGCCTGACATTCCTCTTCAAGTCAACTTTGTCTCTGTGCTTTTCAACCCCATGTTCCGCCCGTTGACCTCAGCTGCGATCCTCCTTCGGCAAGGCTTTCCGCAAGAAGTCGTCCATCTCCGTCGCCCCAACTACGAATACCCCTCCCGCCACGTCAGGCGTCGGCTGCCACTCCACGGCAGACGAGTCCGGCCCGGCCAGTCTTTCGATGTCGGCCCCGAACTCTGCCTCCCCGGCCACGGGCATCGGTACCGCCGGCCTCCTCCACTCCTCCGAAGACTTGGGCCTCTTGTGTGGCGTCGGATCGGCCGCCAGCGGTGGGAATGTGGTTGGAGTGTGCGGTCTGGAGGCGGTTTGCCCCGAGCTGCCCGGACTCGGCTCGCCGAATCCGCCACCGGCCATGGGGCCAGTGGACAGTGGCATTCTAAGCGGTACCGACAACAATTCGCTCTCTTCCTGCTCCACCAACGCCTCGTCGTCCCTGGCTCCTGCGGCCATGCAGACCAGCGGCGTCAGAACCTCGGCCGCGCTCAGCCTCGGCGACAGGCCGCCTCAGACGCAGTCGTCAAGACTGGCCCAGTCTCGAGCTTTGGCGCCACGCCAGTTGACGTCATCTCCGCCCGACACAGTTTCGTCCGTCAGGAGCCGGCCGCAGCCGACTGTTGTTGGGGAGTCCGGACCCGCAGTCGCTAAGACAACAGCAAACGGACTCTCGCCGTCACATTCCGCCACCTCGGCGTCGCCGTCCGGAGCATCATCTGCCTCTTCTGCCTCCTCCTCCTCTTCTGCTTCCTCCTCCTCCTCTTCTTCCTCAACTTCGTGGGGAGTCTCGAATCCGCAGGAAGCCTTGCGAGGTAAGTCGAAGACCCTCGGACCTCCTCGATGTACACAAAGTTTGTTATCTTGCCCACCTGTTAAGGGTACTCACACACGAGCTCTTGGACCGAGCCCCATTGCAACATTTTTGGCTGGATCTTCCGGGCCTTCGGACTCCAGGCAACCTTGGTGCATGCACAATCACACACACACATACACACGAATCTGAAAATACAACTGGCATTGTTGTAGTGATTGTATTTTGAATCAAAGTGCCTGATTAAGATAAATGTAGGTCACTATATATACATACATAGTACTTTATAGTAAAAATAAAAAATGAACTAATATATATAAACATATATATATATATATATATAATGTTGTTAAATTATGTGGTTAGCTCTTTTGATGGTATATGTTTACATTTATGTTTATATATATATATATATATTGTTGTGTGTATGTGTGTATGCGCGTATGAATGCCTAAATCAGAGTACGAAGTGACCAGTCGTGAAGCTGAGCAATTGTAACAGAGTTATTAATGTGATCTGTTTACCCTATTTTGTTTAGGTGATAAAGGAATGGCAGTTGAACTATCCAACAATGATATGAGTAGACCTTACGTTTTCATTGAATTTCTGATAACCTCGGCTCTGAAAAGGTATTCTCATCCCGGCTGAAGTAGACTGCAATTTAGACCTTGCCTCGTCTGGGTCTTGTCAGCACCCCCAGCGCTACTCACACCATGACAGTGCTGCGGATAATGTTGACACGTTCGAGTCCTGCTGGGGATGCTGATGAGCTCTCGTCGAGGTTGAAATTGCAGTCTACTCCAGCCGGGATGAAAATACATTTTGGGAATCAGGGCTATGTGAAATTCACTATAAACGTAAGGCCTACTCATATCATTGTGGGACAATTCAACTGCCACTTCTTTAGCCTCTTAACGAAATAGGGTTAGTCTCGGAAATCTACTTAAAGGCAAAAAATAGAGTAATTAAGTTTTAAAGTGCAAAGATGGAGCATGTCTGTGATTACTATTTTGCGAAAATAGGTCTGATTGAGCAGAAGAGCTTAAAATAAATGTAAACTGAATGTGGTTGTGATCTGAACCATCGCTGAGTTGACTAGTCAAGTCGTCTTCCCTTTTTCAGCCGCTCAACAACCTCTTTCCCTAAATCTACCAATCGAGCATAAGTAGTTATTACATGTAGTTGTAGAATCACTGAGATAACATTGTCAGAGAGACTTTTATTCAGTTTTGGGGATTATCAGTAAATCATGTATATGAGATTAAGGTGACGAAGGAATGGTAGTTGATTATTCCCATAAAGATATGGGTAGAGCTGACGTTTCCATTGAAGTTCACATAGCCTTGCTTTTCCAAAAGTTGTTCTAATTCAGAAACCAGTCGACTACAGTTTCGACCTCGCATCGGTCTTATCAACAACCTCAGTGGGATTCGAACCATTACAGTGCAGAATGTGAGCTTGACACATTAACCACTCAGCCATATTACCTTCTATGTTTGGATTGTCGATGAAGCAACTTTATATTTGCTTTAGCAATTTTTCGTGAGTGAGTAGGTTTTTGAAAGTCATATTTCTGATTTACTGATAGTCTCGAACACCTACATACTCACGAACAAAGTAATGTCTATTTGCTATAGCAAATAGAAGTTTGCTTCATCGACAATCCCAACATAGAATATGGTATGGAAAATGCATGACATTCATAAAAATTCACATCTGCCATGTGACCCAGCGGCGCTCGTAGCACTGTGGTCTAGTGGTCAACGTGTCGAGATTAGGTGCTGACCTGTCATGGTTCGACTCCCGCTGGGGGTGTTGATAAGACCTATTCGACGTCGAAACCGCCTTTTAAGAAAGCATGGCTATGTGAAATTCAATGCAAGGCATCGGCTCTACGCATTTCATTGTGGGAAAAGTCAACTACCACCTTAAACGAAATCGGGGGGATACAACTCATATAGAGAGAGTATTAGTTCACATGAAAGTGCAGGAAGAAGAGATTCGAAGATAGATCTCACCAGAAGACGATGGCTGATTTGCATTGTTCTGCCGCAGTTTGGCCTCGATACTATGTTGAGGTTGGCGCAGTCCCCGAGACATCCCATTCGTTTCGAGTGAAAAAGGGATGAGCTTTTGTCCATCATTTGCACGACATCCTCAAGACTGTAACTCATTCTTGCAAGCGTCTTACGTTAACACCAAATCAAGAAGACTGCCCGGCTCTATCTTACAGTTCATATAAACTCATAATTATAAAACTAAATGTTTACGCATAAATTGTTATATAATGGTTTGGCTAATTATCTTTCATGTTGGTCATGGTACTTTTACTTGAGTAGTTGTATATATGTGTGTGTTTATGTCTATATGCAATAGCGGCCCCAAATGAGTGTAATAAAAAGTCTAATGTTAAGCTTTGATTATACGGCTTAGTGACCCAAGAAAAAACCCCGACCGAGACCGCGTAAGTCCGTAAGCAACTCTGGTTGAGATAATGAGATTTAAGCTTGTACCCGTGTAAACCAGGTTACGAAACCCCTTTCCCAACCTCTCAGTCTAGGGTGATTAAGATGTAACCAACCAAGGAAATGCATGAATGGGGCGGCGTAATCTGATACGTCTGGTTTGGTTGATGAGCGTAATCTACATTTTGGGCCAGTGTGAGTGAGGTCCATACCATCACCAGGTTGACCGATTAAGTCGCAGCTCTTACCAACCATCATATCTCCATTATTAAATGTAACGTAATCCAAGAGCTGCTACTTGAAGAAGACTCTCTTATGTTGGGTTTTGCTGCAGATGTGGGCGGTGCCAATCTAAACGTCATAATACAATCAAATGTCAGCAAAACAATGAAAATCAGCCGTCGTCTTCTGGTGAGATTGACTTAGTAATTTTGTTTACTAAGCACCTTGTCAAAGGAGAAAATCACCATGACACTTTTATCTTTGGAAAGTCGTCGAAGACCAGTTTTATATCAGACCTTCTTGCAGAAATGTGAGTTTCTTTGCAACGCATTTTCTGGCTGCCAACTGTTTGTAAGACAGCAACTAATTTGCGTCAAGAGACGACGATAAAGTTTAGACAGTCAAACGAGATATTCATACAACTCTTTTAACATCCAGAAGTACGGGCAAACAATTGGTGACTGACATCAGCCGAAGATGTGCTGTTTGAGGCCATTTTGCCTCTCACAGAAGTGGGTTCGAACCTTGTATCCACTAGCATGCCCCTCGGTGTCAGGCAACTGCGTTGCCGAGGGCAGCATGCGTTTGCACAGATTGTAGAGCCGCCTGTGCCGTGAAGGTTACAGAAATGTGATTTGCCTACCTTTCGGTATGTCTATTATCTGATTTACTCTTCACCAATGGCTGGAGCGAACATTCCTCACATGCAGTCCTTCTAGCCCTCAGCAAGACAGGTAGTCTATGTCTGCTTGTGGATCAGGCCAAATTTTTTAGCACTCGCGTTTTTCTGCTTGGAAATGAACCTTCTGCCAAACCTTTTATGAATGGCAGATGAAATAACTTGTGGAAAAAGGCAAAGAAAATGAAAATATTCCATTTTTCCTTTATTACCTGTCAAACTGTTCGGCCGAGCACTTGACTAGGGATTCTACTGCCACTTGTTCCCTGACATTGCCCTCTCTTTCACTCATCCTCTTCCCTCTCCCTCTCTCTCTCTCTCTCTTTCTCTCTTGCCCTCATGTGACCTTTTTCTATTTCACTCTCGCTTTTGCTTCCTCCTTCACCACAGCCGGCAACCAGCCTCCTCCCTCCCTTGCTAGGCCGGCTAACCTACCACAGACGAGTGTGTTGCTGCCTTCGGAGACGCGACAACAGCCGGTGGGAGGCCAGGCGACAGGAAGCAGTGAGCTTTTGGTGGAGATGCGCAACAAACATGTGTCCGAGTCTTTAGCGGCAATTCAGAGGTGAGCAGCCTGGCACGGTGCGAAGAGGCCACCGAGGAGAACATGGCCGACAGGCCATGACTACTGAGGGTTAAAGTGATTTGGAGTTGCCTAGTGCGTTGCGCTGATTGTTAGTGGTAGTGGTGCCGGTAGTGGCAGTAAGTCGTAAACACGAACTGTTAAAGCCGACCTTTTGCCCTATTGAGTAGGCTTTCGAGACTACCAGTAAATCAGGTATATGAGATGTTTTTATCCTATTTCGTCCAACGTAATGCAGGACTGCGAGTCTAATTTTCCCACAATAATATGAGTAGAGTTGATATTTTCCAATTAATTTCATATAGCCTTGCTTTCGCAAAAGGTGTTCTCATCCAAGCAGGAGTAGACTGCAACTTTGAACTCGCATAGGTTTTAGCGAAACCGCAGTGTGTAATCTCGACACATCACCCACTCCGCCACATTGCCGTGAGTGTCTTCAGGTCACCGGGCAGATGTGAATTTCAAAGACGGTCAAGCATTTTCCATATCACATTCTGTGTTGGCATTGTCGATGAAGCAAACTTATATTTGCTATAGCAATCGATGACACTACTTGCTTTTTTATTGAGTAGGTTTTTTGAGGCAAAAAGTAATATCGTCGATTGGTATAGAAAATATATGTTTGCTTGATCGGCAATCTCAGCACATTGTAGATACGAAGAGAAACTGGGTTTCGGTGAATCTCCTGAGATAACATTGTTGGCGGGACTTTTATTTCGTATGAAAGTACATGGAGAAGAGATTCATAGGTCGGTCTCACCAGATGAGAACGGCTGAATCGCTTTGCACTGCAGCCGTTTGGCTTCTTCATGCACTTTCATACGAAATGAAAGTCCCCCAACAATCCTAGCATAGAATTTGATATGGAAAATGCGTGATATTCCTTGAAATTCACATCTGTCCAGTGACCTAAGGGCACACACTCACGGCAATGGCGCGGAGTGGGTAACGTGTCGGGATTACACACTGTACTGTCATCGTTCGAGACCCGCTTGGGGTTCTGATACGACCTATGCGATGTCGAAACTTCAGTTCAGCCTGAATGAGAACATCTTTTGGAGAAGCAAGGCTATATGAAATGCATTAGAAAGTATCAGCTATACTCATATCATTGTGGGAAAATTCAACTCCCAGTCTCTCATCACATTAAACGAAATTGGGTGAACACATCTAAAAACCAACTAACTATGAATATAATTGGCGGGATTGATAGTAATGGAAGAATACAAATTTGCATTCTCGACTATGAGAGAGGCCTGGCCTACCTTTAAATTCATCTATTTCCCTAACCCATTGACCGCCATTGCAGTGTGACGTGGTGAAAATATGTATGAAATAAAAGCTGTGCTATTCGTATTTGATTCTCTATGGGGTTGCTGATGCGACTCAGACGAGGGCGAAACTGCGGTTCACCTCGGATGATTTAATTTAGTTAATAATTTATTGATACTAATGATATTTATATTTACATACTATTAATATATTATAATATATTACTAATTTACAATCTATCGTTGCGCTGATTAATAGCAGAAATAACTTCTCGCTTATAGACGACGTTTAATACGTCGTAATTATCATTAGCTCCGCCTGCCTGACATGTGTGACCTATCAGGTTGGCTAAGCCAAGCTGCTCTTTTTAGAGGGGACAGTGGAAAATTAAATTTGCCACAATACCCCATCCATTTATAGACGACCTTGTATCTGTATGCTAAGGAAGAGGTCTTAATGGTTAAACTCATAAAGCGTTGCGACAAGTGATGCCAGAGTGGAGTGACCCTTTGTGTACATTGTCCCTTGGTTTCGGTTGTCATTGAAGTTCAGGGATTTCCAAGTTTCAAGCTGCACACTCATTCGGGGAGGATACTTGCAGCGGAATAAAAACAAAGGTCCGCCTTAACTGTATGGAGCGTATTAGCTGATAGTTACGTTTTGCCAAAATGTCACGAGTAGACCTCAGTATTCATTGGGTTTCATACAGTCTTGCTTCCCAAAAGGTTTGCTCATCCCAGCCGGAGTGGACTGCAGTTTCGACCTCGCCTGAACTCGTCGCATCAGCCATCCCAGCGGGACTCGAACTCGACACTTTAGTCATTATGTTACACCCCCATAAGTGTCATTGAGTTTTAGAAGAGACGTGAATTTCAAGGAGGCTAGGTCCTTCCCATATCACTTTCTGTGTTGGGCTTGAGTTCCGTTTCGGGTGCTGATGAGACCAAGGCCAGGTCAAAACTGCAATCCCGTCTGGATGGGATAATCTTTTGGGAAGCAAAGCTATGTGAATTCGAGTGGAATCGTGAGGCCTGCTCATGTCATTTCTGGAACATTTAGCTACCAGTCCTTCACTACCTTAAACGATATATCTATAAATATATATAGTATTAGTCTCAAAAATCCACTTATTAAACAAAAAAAATTCTTTATTCTCTCAGCATAGGGACAGAGTGGTTGAAATTGAACAAAATAGGCTTTTTAAGGGTAAAAGAGTTTGTCGTTTTCAGTTGGCGAATTGTGAGATAATGGAATTAAGTTGTCCTGTATCTGTTCGTTAGTATAGGGAGCAGGAATTCTGTTTAGGTCTACTGTTTTCGCCTGACTTGTGTATTTGGCTGGTAACTATTTTGTCTGAGGTCGAGGGAGGAAAAGACTTGATTGTTGCCTTGACTTGCTCTTCGTCAAGAATCCATGAGGGCTGTTCTTGTCTGAGCTAAAATGCAGCTTCCCCCTTGGATCATTGTTTCACCACCACCCTCAGCGGAATTCGAACCGTGAAGATATACGTTTAAATGATAACATATTAACTCTGGCAGCGCGTATGACTTTTAAGGCACAACCAATCCCTCTCAACCTACAGATTTGTTGGTAGTTTTGTAGCGGTCGACAACCAACTCGATGCCTTACAAGTAAGTATAATTAGTATAGCTTTATTTGGTTGGGAAGATGTCAAACGGCTGATTTCTGTAGAGGCATACCAATTTAGACGGGTTTTGTCTGATGGTGAATCTGCCGATGAGTAATTTGATGGAGATACTTTGTTTTTTAATCTAATTTCACCTTTTTATGCTTTACGAAGGGTAGCTCTGATCCAAATTCGAATGCCGTTGTAGATGTTGATGAAGCCATAGGACAAGGTGGAAACTGCGATCAGACAGGACGAGATCAGCCTTTTGGAATGCATGGCATGCGAATCTTATTCAAATACTCAAAGACAGACTCGTTTTAAAATCAAACAATAGATCATTTTTGATAAAAAACCTGAAAGTAACAGCTGTTGCTAACTTCCTAATTCAGTAGTGTATTAAGTTTGACGGCAATGTCGATATAAAATGTCTATTTGCTGAGTTAGTAGATGTTAAATGATAACGTGTCATCATGAGGCTTTCTACTCACTTCGCTGGGATAAATCCAATTATTCGTAGTACAAAATCTTTATTTTTCGAATAAAGTATTGTTTTTCGTGACTACCAGTAAATCAGTTATAAGATGTATTAACCCAATTTTGTTTAAGGTGATGAAGGACTGGTAGAAGTAGAATTTTCCCACAAATGATATGAGTTGAGTTGACATTTCCATTGAATTTTTACATAGCTTTGCTTTCCCAAAAGTTGTTCTCATCCCGGCTGGAGTACACTGCATTTTCGACCTCGCATTGGTCTTATCAACACCCTCAGCGGGAGTCGAACCACGACAGTGCAGGACGGTAGCT